CCGCGGTATACGTTCCCAACCCGTCTTAAACCTCTTCTTGCTTGCGTCGAAGCGAGGCAACGGATGCGCTTCGGTATTCAGGACGATTTGATCGAGAGGGAGGAGGTCGTCGGGGGAGAAAAGGAGGTACATGTATTTGAGCGTCTCGGCCTGCATGATGTGTTAGCAAACCAGTCCAGTACCCCTAAGAGAGGTGAAGACGACGGGGAAAAGGAACTTACAAGCCAGAAACTCTCCATGTTGTCTCGCGACGGAGGAGGTACCTTCGTCACATCACCGATACTGGAGAACCCGCCATTGTCCTCTACAATAGTGTGCTTGACAAAAGCTTCAAACATGTCCCAGCCCCATTCGCGGTAGATGTCGTCGCCGGTTATGCGCCACATGTACAGGAGCGACTCTACAGTCTCTGGTCGCTGAAGATTATGCGTATCAGCTGGCTTGAGGTCGAAATCGCTCTTCCAGCCCTCGCTGTCGGGGACACTGGTGTCGAGCTCGGATTTGGACGCGAGGATCTCGGTGCGGTACATCTTGGGCGGGTCGTCGAGCTGGAAGTAGGCGATTTCAGGGGCGAGACCTGTGGCGGTCACTTTGTACATGCCCATGCATGTTTTTGTGAGTTCGCGGGCGAGGGTTATGTCTTCTTCTTGTGCTTTGCCCCAGGTGGGTAGTTTGCGTGCGTCAGCGAGGGGAATGCCGCCGGTTGCGGCGAGGGCGATGGTGCCAGGTAGGAAGCAGACGAGGTGGTCCATCTTGGGATGCAGTTTGCCTTCGATACCGCTTGGTCGCTCTGCTAGGACGGTGAAGTGGCTGTTCTTCGTGTATGTGAGGAGATGCTTCTTTGCGCCGTTGAGCGACTCGTTCCACATCTCTTGGTAGACTGGTTCCTGCTTCTGGGTTTGCAGGTACTGCTTGATAAGGTATTCGTAGTAGCTGTCTCCACGGCTGCCCCATCGGATCTCGCTTCCGCGGAAAGTGCCTTTGTCTGCGTAGATGAAGATGGGTAGGAGACCGTCTTTGGCGCCGTTGTCGTCCACGACTTTCATTACTTTCTCAGCCACGTCCCAGTAGTGTGCCTCACCGGTGAGGAACGCTAGGTATTTCATCTCGAGTTGGAGAGTGGTTGCTTCGGCTGTGGAGGACGCACCGCCGTCCGCGTGCGAGGCTTCGCCTTTAGCATCTCTGAGGATCACACTGGCCCACGGCACACCCGAAGGTGACTCGTACGCGCCCATGAGGCGATCAGCCAGGTCGGTGGCTTTCTCCAGAAAAAGGTCCTCCTCGTTCGAGTTCTCTGGTTTCAGGCCCGGAAGTGTCTCTTGCAAGTAGTGTGCAGACAGCAGACCACCAAGCATGCGTATGGTTGTCTCAAAGGTATTGACATCCTGCTTCTTGTCGTAATCGAGACTCGTCGAAATCCATTGCCGTGCGTGGGTGAGTTCTTTGGTGAGGTTCATGATCATGAGAGTATCGAGTGCGTCCACGATGATCCAGCCCAGACCGTTGGGCTCAGCCATGTATCGACCCTTCTTCGAAACGGGGTGGTACTCGTCATAACCCCAGCCATGCTCCTCGTACGCGTTCCAACTCAGTAGGAAGGCGTCTTTGACTGCTTGTCTCCGCTTCTCCCAGTCAACTTTGCTCTTCTTTCCGGCAGCACTTCCGCCTATATTTGACAACAAGCTCTTGCCCCTATCCTTCTCATCTTGTACTGTGCCCACATTTGTGCCACCGCTAGACCATCCGAACCAGTAGAACAGCCCCAGCACTACCAGTGCTATCAGCGACATGCCCCTCTTACTCCGCAGGAAGCCTTTCCTTCCCCTCGCACCACCGCCATATCCATAGCTTTTCCCCGAAGGCTTGTCCTTATACATTGGCAAGCCCTTTTCGTTCCCCGGTAGTTTGTTCCAAACATTATCTTCAAACTTTCGTTGCGCGCTCTCGAAATTGGGTACGTTGCGCGGGATGGCGAAGGACATGTCTGAGTCCTGGATCGCCTGTTTCGTGGCCTCGACTGCCTGCTTGGTCGATTCGACGGCTTGCGAGGCTTTCTTGTTGGCGGCGTTCTGGAGGACGGCGAAGGCGGAGGGTGTCTTGAATGCTGTTTTGCTGCGGAGGTTGAACGGGTCGCGTGTCGAGTTCATGAGGCGGCGCGACGCGTAGTGCTGATTAAACAATAGACCAGGCGGAGCGAGTGTATTTCACCCTTGCGAAGTCTGATAACTTGACATCTTGCTCCAGACTCCAGTCGACTTGGGAAGCAATGCTCAAAGCGCCCTCTGTCTGACTCGCCAGGTGTTCATTGCTCATCCCCGATGCAGATAGCTTGGCTAGACAGGGGTCCCGCATCTCAGGAAACTTCAGCCACAGCGGAGTTCAACGGGGAGGCTCCACCTTCAACCCTCAGCCTCGTTGCGACTCGCAAGCATCGCTCTTCCTTGTGCTACAGGTAGGACACGCGTACTCAGGCACAGGCACAGTGTAGCCTCCTTCCGCAACCCAAATATATCTCAGCACGATGAGGCATATCAACAGCAGCTGCGATGCGGCAATGTGTTTTTCAGAAGTACTCGAGCATTGTTCTTATGATCACCGCCCACCCTGCAGTACTGTATTTACGATTACCGCGTCTTGTCGTCATTGCTATCTACTCGTTACGTGATGGCGTTCTACACCAAGGATGAGATGCGCTTCCTATTCTTTGCTCTCTTTTCCTGCCTACCCTTACATCGTTGCTTTCGCATTGCTCGCACACCTTCCCCGCCAGTACATAGAACAGAGACGCCTAGCATCGGAAAGTCACAGTCAAGAGTGTATCTACGGAAGAGCAAGACGAAGCGATACGATTCTTCATCTACCATAACCATCTCACCAACCGAAACGCAATGTCAGGTGCAAGCATGAAGCGCATTCAAATCACACCAGACGGCTCGGGTCCACCTACTAAACTCGACACCGATGTTCCTACCTCTCTACCCGACGCCAAAGAGACCAAAATTCATCCCCAAAACGCCCCAGACGCTGCAACGAATGCCTCCCTCTTCTTCGTTGGAACTGCCACCACAATCCTGGAATGGGAAGGTATCCGTATTCTCACTGATCCCAACTTCCTACATGCTGGCGATCATGTTCACCTGGGACCAGGCGTTGGTGCGACGAGACAAACGAACCCCGCCATCGATTTGGAAGAGTTACCGAGAATCGACGTGATTCTGCTGTCGCACTACCACGAAGACCACTTCGACCGGGAAGTAGAGGAGAAACTGTCAAAGGGACTCCCGATCATCACTACACCACATGCCAAGGAATGCTTGACAGGCAAAGGCGAAGAGTCGTTCAAGAACGTGCATGCGCTCGACTTCTGGAACAGCTTGCTCCTAGATGTATCGCAGTTAGACGAAACAAACAAAAGCGGTCAGAAGCCTAGCATTAAAGTCACAGGTGTGCCGGGAAAGCATGTCCCTCCAGGTCCACTGAACGTTGCGAACGATATTCTTGGCGCCGTACCACCTACGAATGGCTGGATGGTCGAATTGGGGTATTCGAATGGTTCTTCTGGCGACGGTAGCGACTTCGAGAACGGATATAGGATCTACATCTCTGGCGACACACTGATGGTGGACGAGCTCAAGGAGATCCCTGAGCGATACAAGGATCGGAACATCGATCTGATGCTGGTCCACTTGGGAGGCACCACGATCCCCGGGCCTAAGATGCCGTTGCTGATGGTCACAATGGATGCCGAGCAGGGTGTACAGCTCATGCAGCTCATCAATCCCGACCTGACGATTCCAATCCATTACGACGATTACGATGTGTTCCTGAGCCCGCTGGACGATTTCAAGAAGGCAGTGCATGCGGCGGGTCTGGACAGCAAAGTCGTATATCTGGACCGCAAGGATCAGTACAAGTTCAACGTGAAGCAAGGACAGAAGCCGAAGCAATCGCTGTATTAGTAGCCCTATCGGTAGTGACTCTGTAACTAGCTGTTCAGCAAAATTGACCATGATACATGATGATTCTTGGTGCACGTCGGAAACAGGCTGTGGTGTTCGGAATGAAGTTTGACTTTTTTCATTCCTGGTGGTAACCCAGTGTGAAGGGTTCCGTGATGCCATTGAACAAAATTTATCCGTTGAGACGCCGTCCGCCCATGCCTTCGTGCTTCGTGCGCATCGTGCGTTGATGTCCTTGCACACTTCTGTCCTCAGTCCCTCATGCGTTCGATCCGTTTATGCGTGCTTGCCCTTGGGGTTCTTCTTGCCAACGTCGGTGATGGTAAGACCTGCGGTTGTTAGATTCGTGTCATTGGCGCTGGAGTATTGGGGATGTGCGTACCCGGGGGCAGACTCTGCTTGAGCTTCTCGGCCTTGTCGGTGTCCTTAAGGACGAGGGTGTAGACGTTTGTTGAGCATCGGACCTTGAACTTGATGTTGTTGACCTTCTTGTTCTTCTTTATGCGGGCGGCTGCGATAATGTCAGTCCAGTGCTCTCATCACGTTCGCTGCCTCGATCGTCGCAGGCCTCTGCGGCTCGCATTCATCGTGCACAATTCCTCCTCCTACTGCGACCGCAACCTCCCCCGGAAAAAGTGGTAGACGTACACTTGGCATCCTTGCGCCTGCAGATCTCGATGAACTGCTTGATGTCGGAAACTTCGGAAGGCATCTTGACGATTTGTGTGTGGACGGGTCGTTGGAGTTCGGGATCGTGAAGTTCGGAGACGCCTAGGCACAGGCCAAAAATGCTGTGGACTCGCTTGAAACGCACGGGCTGCGAAGGGGCTGCCCGCAAGCGTTGCTGCTTTGGGCCTAGTGGGGTGACGACGAGTGTGGCGCGAACCAGGAACGCCATGGCTGCGTCGCATGAAACAGTGTTGCCTACAACCCTATAACTGCTGCAATTCTTATCCAAAGTTCATCTCGCTCCTCGTCTCGCTCAGAACCCCTTGGATCTCTCTCCACACAGGCACACACAAACAACTTCCACCCTTCAGCATGCCGACCCCCATCGATCGCGCGGTGCAACAACGTGTAGGTTACTCATGGCTCTCCTGGCATCTACTTTACATAGTGGGCCTTCTATATGCCGCGGAAAGTACATGCTGACACGATTCAGGGCCCTTTCTTCGCTTTTGCCGCAGTCGTCGCTGGTGTAGCAGCATGGAGCATCTGGGGACAAGACATCTTCCCTAGTCAAGACCCTACTGGCGGTACGTCATTCTGAACCTCTTCATCGCCAAAGCATCTCTTAAGTCCAGGTTTGCTGACAATGATTTCAGACCCAGAAACATGGACACATGATCAATGCGTTACCTGGCTCAAGCACGTAAGTTCTCTAAAGCCTCGGTGTGACGAAGGACACATGATAGCTTTGGCTACCTCTCAGCTATTGAATATCTTCGTCAAGCTGAGGTACAGGCTGTTGGTGGTCTTCATACTAATGCCACGGCAGAGAAACCTACACCCCTCTCCCATCGCAACAACCGCTGAGCTACTGGAGCGGATCAAGGCGAATATGAGGGTAGCCAGAGAGCGAACACCGGGTCAATGAGCACGTGTAGTCCAAGATGTCTATCCGAATCCAATAAATTGCAGACTTAGTTACGGACTTTTGTCTATTAAGAAACCCTTGAGCCGAGTTGAATAGTGCTTGCGCTTTTCACCCATAACTCCTGCAGGATATCATGGGTAGTCGCCAGGCTGAGCCATCGTTGATCGATCGAACATCAAATCAACCCCGACTACCTCCAGGCCTCACCATATTTTCCCCTCCATAACACCTGCAAAACACCTCGGTAGTCGCCTCGCTGAGCCGTTGCTCGCCGATTGAACGTCATATCAACCTCAAATACCTCCAGGTCTCATCGTATTTCTCGCCAAAACACACCTGCAGAATACCACGGTAGTCGCCTGGCTGACCCATTGATCGTATGTCCAGAGCATAGAAAATCTTGACTTCCTCCCGGCCTCATCATATCGCATCAACGCCGTACTCCTCCCAACAGACTTTTGCCCCGTTTACTACACTCCACACCCTATCTCCACGCCCTATTCATTGTCGCCGTCCGCCTTCTTGAACTCCTGTAGGACCTCAACGCTGGCGTTGTAGTGCTCTGCCTCCTCAGTGTAGGCGCTCTCCATTTCGATCATCTCTTGGTTGAGACGGTCCAGTTCCTCAGCCATACGTTGCTTATATGGACCCATCTGCTCATCGATCTCAGCCTGCTTCTTGGCGGTCTCCATACGCATCTTTCGCATGTCCTCGAGTTTCTTGCGCTGGTCTGCGAGTTGGCGCTCAATCGAAAGCGTCTTAGGTGTAGAGGAGCGCGGTACTACAGGCTGGGCTATAGGTAACGTGGGCGTAGGCGTAGGCATCGTACGCTTTGGCTCTGGTGGTGTTACGCCGTTGGTAGTGGAAGATGGACGCTTTGCCGGTACAACTGCTGGGGTAGGGGTACCTGGCTTCTTCTGACCGTTGACTGTGCTGGTACTGATAGACGCTGGTTTTGCGACCTGTTTCTTTGCCGGAGTGTTGGACTGCGGGGGTTTCTTTGCTGTAGCCAACGGGGAAGGGGAAGGCTTTGTGACTGTCTCCTTCGCTACGGCTACAGATTTGTCTGGGTGCACGTTCGCGGGCTTAGTACCGGTTCCTGGAAGGCTGGATACTTTCGCAATCATATCGGCTACCGGCACAGAAGGCGCAGCGGCGATCTTTGCTGTGACTTTCTCACCACCGCTACCGGGATTAGAGGTAGAGGTGCTGTTGTCAGTATCTCCATTGGCAATTGCCTGCTTGGGCGTCGCAGTTGGTTGTTCGGAGGGCGCAAGGGCCTTGTTCTCTGACTGTGCGCTTCTCGCTGGCGTGGTGGTAGGCATTGGCGATTCTGATCGCGACGAAGCATCTCCGTCGTTCTTTGATGCGGGCCTTGCACCCAAAACCAGAGGAGGAAGAGGCTCCAGCGCTAGAGTATGCGGGTCTGCCAATCCCGGATCGTTGGGGTCAAAGGTCATGATCATGTCTCGGTCCTCGAAATCGTCTGAGTGCTATGTTAGCTTCGTACCTGAGAATGAGTTTGAGCAGCTGACCTTCACTGCGATAATGGAAACGAAAGATGGCCCATGGCTCCGGACCGGGACGCTTTGCATCTGCCCTGCGCTTGTGCAGGCTCGGCTGCGTACCCTCCAACGGAACGATGTTTTCTTCCAAAGACATCTTCAAAGTTGGAGGTACCTTCTTGTAGCTTGCCTTCTGCTCCGTGCTGCCCGGATAATCCTCTTCAACACCACCTTCGATTTCGTAGTATTTTCTCACGTTACTAACTTCGTGAGAAACACCCAATTGTCGCGTGATGTACAAGCGATGCTCGATCGTTCCGATGGTTTCAGGCCCGTCACCTTGTGTCATGACCACATTCAACAGAGGAGTTGCGGTCATCTCGGTGTCGATGGTCTCTTTCCCATTCTTGCATAGGAACTTTTCGGTATCAATCTTCCTGTTGGTCTGCAAGCTTACAGCTTTTGCGACATATGAGTTGGCTTTTCGTAGCACTCCGTCCACGATGGTGTCATAGGCCACGGCCAGAGTCTGAACATTCGTTAGTTACATCGTTCAGACCTCTGCAAGTATTGCGTACAGTGCCCGTGAACCTGCCGCCAACTCGAGGCTTGTGACCTTCGTCAATGGCCACATAACAGCAAATGGCATTGTCTCGTGAGTCGATGTACTGATCGTATTCCTTAAGCGCCGCGACCTGGCCATCGACATAGATGTTGACCTGTGCTCTTCGGTCGCTGCCCCTTTCGATAACCTTCATGATGGAGGAATTCGTTATGAGACGAAGAATGAGTATGATCGAGGCGTATCTTGCGATGACCCAATACCTTATCTCGCGTAGGCTTGGACTGAGTCGAAAGTCAACGTGAAGTGACTGGTCGCTTGAGAGATACGGAAGTCGCTACTGTACTAGATTTGGCGTGACTGAGTTGGGTACGTGCCAAACTGCAGAGGAAGTGTCTAGGCGCCGGATCAAATCCTTGTTCACTAGCAGTATCGACAGCGTGAGAGGTGAGGGATGTTTGGAACTACAAGCGCCTCCACCGCCGACTGTCGCGCTTTGGGGCTTCGGTAGTCCCGTGCCTGCTGTTTTGGGCAACTAAGCGCAGCCTGAGCCTGGGGAAGGAAATTTGGTATCAGGCCGAAACGGAGAGAATATTCGAGATGGGAAGGAGTGGAGAGAGAGGAAGAGGGTGCGTCTTGAAGATTGGGAGACCTGATGAAGACGGCAGAGTAGTGAGGTGAAGGTGAGGCTAGTTAGGCGGTTGACACGTGCTAGAGGAACGCTGTGATGCCAGGGACCGCCACGTCTGCGAAAGCCCAAGTGAGAGTGACTGCATGAGCGCTCACACACCCAGTCAGATAAGACATACCGAACCTAGACTGCTCTACGGAGCAGCACGACTTCGAGAGCCCACATGCTATGTAGATTGCTAGAACAACTCCATATGATTCTCTCGCCCGCCCTCAGAGTGACAATCTTGACCGACTTGAAGTTTTCTATTAAAGGCCTGTGGGTTCTGCCATCCCTATCGCATACTTCAAAGAGGGCATTTGGCATACTCTGGGAATTTTTGTTGATGGGTCATTGTGCGCTCCTGGAGCGATCTTGCACTGATCTCCTGAACGTGAGCTCTTCCATAGCCGTCTATCAGATGATTTCTGTTGTAGGATGAGATGTCTTGCTATGCAAATCGTAGCCCATGCGATCACATGCAAATGGAGCCGTGATGAATTAGGCAGGCACTGAGACTGTGAAAATCGAAAGAATCGTCCGGAGTAGAAAAACTGCGAAAACGAGAAGAAACAATTGTCGGAACGAGTGAAAGACATCGTTGCCCTGCGTCGGAGATAATAGAGAGAGCGAGCCGCGGCGGAAGGACGGATGTGGTCATTCGCCAAGCGCGGTTTCTTCCTTCGGTTCGGATGCATTTTCGGGGGACGGCAGCTTCAGCTTGTTTCTCTCCACCTCAAATCCCTCACCACCAGCCCAACGCCGCAACTCCACCATGTTGTCGAGGACCTCTCAAAGAACAGCGCAGGTACGAGCAAGACGATGCGCCCGCAATTGGCGGGCGCGGTGGGATTTCGAGTGCTAATGCGCCTGTGCAGACGCTCCTGCGGGGCGCGAAGCCTGCCTCCCGATGGGCACCCGCCATGGCTACCCGCTGTACGAAGACCACGTGAAAGATATCCAGAAATGCAGAGTCTAACGCGGCGACAGCAATGGCCACGGTCACCCAAGACATCTTCAAGCCCACCAAGTTCGGCGGCAAATACACCGTTACCCTGATTCCTGGTATGCGCGATAGCCGCCTATAAATGGACATAGATTCTGAACATGCGCAGGTGACGGTATCGGTGCTGAGGTCTCCGAGTCGGTCAAGGAGATCTTCAAGGCGGACAACGTGCCCATTGAGTGGGAGCAGGTCGACGTCTCTGGTGTCGACTCTGGCAACGTCCACTCCGAGGAGCTCCTCCGCGAGTCCATTGCCTCGCTCAAGCGCAACAAGCTCGGTCTCAAGGGTATCCTCCACACGCCCGTCGAGCGCTCCGGCCACCGTTCCTTCAATGTTGCTCTCCGTCAAGAGCTCGACATCTACGCCTCCATCGTCCTCCTCAAGAACATTCCCGGTTACGAGACGCGCCACAAGGACATCGACTTCTGCATCATCCGTGAGAACACCGAGGGTGAATACTCTGGTCTCGAGCACCAGTCGGTCAACGGCGTCGTCGAGTCGCTCAAGATCATCACCCGTGAGAAGTCGGAGCGCATCGCCAAGTTTGCGTTCGCCTTTGCGCTCGCCAACAACCGCAAGAAGGTTACCTGCATCCACAAGGCCAACATCATGAAGCTCGCCGATGGTCTGTTCCGCAACACCGTCAAGAGGGTTGGTGAGGACTACCCCACTCTCGAGACCAACGACATGATTGTCGACAACGCCTCCATGCAGTGTGTCTCAAGGCCCCAGCAATTCGACGTCATGGTCATGCCCAACTTGTACGGAGGTATCCTTTCCAACATTGGTGCTGGTCTCGTTGGTGGTCCTGGTATCGTCCCCGGTTGCAACATGGGCCGCAACGTCGCCGTTTTCGAGCCTGGATGCCGTCACGTTGGTCTTGACATCAAGGGCAAGGACCAGGCCAACCCCACTGCTCTGATCCTGTCCGCCGCCATGATGCTCCGTCACATTGGTCTCGATGACCACGCCAACCGCATCTCGCAGTCCGTCTACAAGGTTATTGCTGACGGGTAAGTTCGAATTCCAAATGAAGAGCAACACATGACTAACATCATCTAGTACCGCCCGCACACGCGACATGGGAGGCAACACCACCACCCACGAGTTCACTCGCGCAGTCCTTAACCAGATGGAGAAGGCATGATTTAGCCATCATGATCTTCGTGTTTGCTAAGCTTTGATCTAGCGCGATGATACCGTCACATCTAGGCCTCGGCTCACATTGGGTTAACCTAGGATATGGAGCAATAACATATTTTCTTAACGATTGGACGCAATGGCACTTGTACAACTACCAGCTGGAATGTGAATAGAGCTGTACTTGTAGGTGGTATATAGCATGCTGCATGATTGAATTGACCATTCTTATACCCTCGTGAAAATGCCAGACCCAGAACTCCGTGCTATGCGTAACATCGTCATCGTGATGTGGGTATATCTAGAATTGGATCCTCCTCTTCCTGCCAGTGTACTTGGACGAGGCCTTGACGACCTTGCCTTGTCTCTCCATCTGCTCCTTCTTCTTCATAATGTACGCCTTGCTGCCTTTGCGCTCCTCGCCCCTCTTCATGCCCTTGGCCTTTCTCCGTGCATCCTCGACGTCGACGCCGTCCATACCCCTTACAACGCCCGTGATGTCGCCATCCAGCGCTCCGCCACCCACAGTCAGAACAAGATACGTCTTCGCGCTCTTGGTCCCCATGTCGTCCTCTAGAAGACCCGCACCGAAACCAGCTTTGATCGCCGCCTGCGCTACCATCTTCTTCTGCGCATCGTTCTTAGGGTAGAACTGACAAACGGCTCTCCCTCCCCTCTTCAAACTCGCATAAAGCTGGTTGAAGAACCTCGATAACCTGCCCGCAGGACTCTCCTCGCTCGTCTCAGCATTGCACAGCCATTGTACTGCACTGATGCTAATCGCTGCATCGAAAGTTCCCGGCCGAAACGGTACGCCCTGCCCCGCATCCGCCAGCAGCAAATCCCCCTCGACCTCTTTCTCCAGCGCAACGCCCAGCATAGACGCGCTGATGTCGAAACCAATCCACACGTGTGGGCCGCCGGGTGTGCCTTGTTCAGCGGAATGCGACAGGATCTCGCCGCTGAGACCGGAGCCGCAGCCGACGTCGAGGATCATGGATGGCGAGGTGAGCGCGAGGAGGGAGAGGGCGCGGTGGGTCATTGTAGATTGGATCTTTTGAATACGCGACGAGGTTGTGTATTTGCGCGATTCGGAATCATTGTAGAAGAGGTCGGGTGGTCTGCAGACGGGTAAGCGCTGTGTTCTTCGCTATGCAATTTGCGGTGTTGGGAGAATTGCGTACAGGATATCTTCGGGGCGCGACATGGTTGCGGTTGTCAACTCTGAATCGCTGGACAATTGACTGTAGTATTCTTCTTATCGCGTGGAAATACGGAACTCGTTTGCGCAGTGATTGTCGGAAGCGAGCGTGGTCTGTCAGTCGCTCGACGCAACGGCAGCCAAGAGTTCGCACGACTTTTTGGAGTTGGACCCCACACTCTGGCGCGGGTCCACGGGTTTCTCCGCTAGCCTTGATGCCACCTTTGGACTGACCTCATCGTGCCGCGGCCAAACTTCCAGCCTTCCACACTTCATCCCTCTTCGCATTCCCCTGAAGTGTGCCAAAAGTCAACATGTGGATATTACCGCTGCTTGGATATGTCGGCGTTATCCTGGGCTTCGCGTTCCTGACGCTTGCGATAGGTACTTTGCTGTGATGCTCTCGGTCTTTGGCTTCATGGGGCTAACGCAACGTAGCTTCCGGCCTGTACTACCTTTCTGAACTCGTCGAGGAACATACCGTCTTCGCGAAGAAACTGCTCTACCGGCTCATCTATGGCGTCGTTGGCATACAAACGCTCCTTCTCGTAGTCGATAGGTTTCCAATTGGACTCAGCGCATTGAGTGTCGGGTCGCATTTCATCTATGCGCAGAACCTAAGGCGGTTCCCTATCGTCAAGCTCACGGATCCACTCTTCTTGGCCTCTTGTGGTATGCTATGATGCTTGGAAGTCTCTACCGGCGCAATGCTGACCATCATTTCCAGCTCTTGTAATCGCGAACCACTACCTGTGGTTCCGCCACTTCAGTGCTCCGCCAGCGAACTCGTACTCCTCGTATCCCTATTCTCGCGATGCCAACATCCCCACCTTCACCGAAATCGCATCCTACTTCGGCCTCTGCGTCTGGCTAGTCCCCTTCGCATTGTTCGTCTCCTTGTCTGCCGGCGAGAATGTCCTCCCCTCGATGGGCTCAGAGTACGCGACCGGAGATGGTAGCAGCTACATCACGCCAGGGACAGCACCAGCACCAGCATCATACGGAACCGGAACAGGCATTGGCGTCGGTGGAGCCAGTAGTGGCATGGAAGGGAAGAGGAGGGCGAGAAGTGGAACAAACGCAGGCATGGCGAAGGCTGTCGTCACTGGCGTCAGAGAGTGGGTTGGAGAGACAGGAGAGGTTATGGGGCTGTGGAAGGGTGAGAGGACGAGGCCGACGTTCTAAGAGCTGGGCCTCTATGGGATACGATTGTACGAGTAATGTGGATGCTTCATGCAAAAGATTGTCGCGGATTGGTTGGTTTGCCTACGTGCCTGCACTTGTCTCTTCACCTTGCGAAAATCGCGCCATTGTCGTGAAAAGCGCCAAACGATATGGCGCACGCGACTTCCATACCCACAGGCCTTCACTTTGTCTCACCCCACTTCCCACCTCAACTCCGCGCCACAAGACACTTTTGGGGATCTCTGATTTACCATTCCTACACCTTCATTCGCGATGGACGACGTACACTCCTCACGCATATACAAGGTGCTTCCGGTGCCCCAGGTACCCCAGATTCCGATGCTGCAGCGCGAGACTGCGTCTATCAAGCCAGAGAAGATCGATACGCGCAGCGCTCGCAATCTCTTGTGCAAGGTCTTCAAGAAACCCTACGCTCATCCGCCTGCTGCGAAGAAGTTGCAGGGCAATCACGTTCAATTTCTACTTGAGACGCCTATCGGTCGCGACTTCAATCTCATCACCGCCGCTGGCGTGGAGTTCAAAGTACATTCTGTCATGTTGATTGGCGGCCCGAAGGCTTTACAGGAGGGACTGTTTCCTGGTGGTGTAAGCATTCCCTTCTGTACATGTGCTATGATCGAGACTAACACGGCCAGGCAACAATTCCAAACCCGCCAGAGTTCGTCAATTTGCCGCCTCACTTCCATCCTATCCTCATGGACCGAATCGTCAACTTCATCTACACATCGGACTACCTGGTCGTCCGGGACGGTAGCAAGCAGCTCATTCAGAAGAACTTCAAGTTCTATCACGCGACTGTTATTCCAGATGTCAACCCGCCCACCGCCGCTACGACCGCTCTAGTCGACATACATGACTACACCTTCCATCTCCACATGTACGCTCTGGCTGAAGAGCTCGACTACGACGCGCTGAAGTCAGCTGCCCACACTAAGCTCGTCCAGCTCTTCATTAACGTGCGCAACGAAACTCCCTCCGCGATCAAAGACGCCATCAACGCTACGTTTGCCCCGTTGGGTAGCCCATCCCGTATCTGCAAAGACGAAGAAGGCATATTGCAGCAACTCGTCGTAGCAGCCGTCCTCGCCCACGAATTCAAGACCTGGACCGAAGCAGACCAAAAAGCATTCAGTGACGACATCCAAGGTCCTCAGTACGCCGACTTCCGCAACGCCTACAACATGGTCAAGGGCGCGAACCAGGATCTTATTGAGATCGGAGATACTGCTAGGTCGTTGGCGGCGGAGCGCAAGGCGGGTATGGAGCGTAGGAGAGCAGCCAAGAAGGCCGGTGTTGGAAACGTGGAACAGAGTAAGCTCATGGTTGGAAGCGGCTCGCCTTTGAGCGTGTTGAGCGCGCGGCCTGCAAATATGAAGGATAAGTTCAAGAGGCGTGTAGAGAAGCGGGGTGTTAGTTCGGTTGCGAAGGTGGATGGAGATGAGGATATGGATATGGAGGTTGACTAGACTGCTTGTCTCGTGGCAAGATGAGCACCCTGGAGTCTACGTTGACTTAACGTCGTCTACTTTGCATGCTTTCATCTTGATGTAGGCTGCAGACCTGTTTGGGAGCTTCTTTGTAGGAGATGCTTTCCCGATTCAACTTGCCGAGCTTGAGATAGTACGTAGATTGTAATGAAATGACAGTAAAACCCTACGAGTTTATCATTGGCCAGATGCGTCGTAGTTCTGCTCTGTGTTCGTGCGCAGGTGTTGATCATCTAGGCAGGGGGCAAGTGAGAGGTGCAGTTGCTTGGTGAGAGAACCTAAAGCGGAGGCGCTCGCTTCCGACTTCCGCCCGAACGCCTACATCATCTTTTCCCGTCCTTACACATCCCCGCCAACGACGAATAATCCCAACCAGCCAATCACCTCATTTTTGACATTGATCGAGCATCACTAGCCTTTCATCGGTCGTTCCTATTTTTGCGAAATCAAGCCGCGCTTCGGTGCCGGCTGTCATGGCTTGCAACAATTGGGAGAAGCTGTGTAAGGCTCAGCGCGACTACCCCAAAGCGAAGTTCGCAGACTCGTTCGTACAAAAATCGCTCAAGAAGACACCCAAGAACCCATTTCTCTTGGTATGCTAGTCGACATCGGAAATTTCATTCTTAGGCTAATTTCGAGCAGGCATGGAAAGCTCGGTTATGTCTTGCATTGAACAATGTGGACACCGATGTAGCGAATTTGGTACAACAGGCCTGGGAGCAGCCAGGGGTGAACGATATTCGGCTGCTGTCCTACTTATATAAGATCTTAGCCGACGCTACGCGGAAAGATCAGGATAATAACCTAAACATCAGCGGAGTGGGCGACGGGAACCTCAAAGTTTGGCAACGTGCTGCGAAAGCCTTGGGACGCAAGGAAGACCGTCAAGATCTCTGGTCTGCTCTAGCGAATGTGGCATTGGCAGAGGAATGCTGGGAAGACTTCCGCCTGGTACGTAAGAAACCGGCATCTGGCCACGACCTGGTTGTATCTCGACACCTTTGGGAATGCGCATCTCCCCGCGCCTTGTCGCTACCAATAAAACTACAACAGGGTGAGATTAGATTTGGTACTAACGCTTGACAGGCTGTCTTTCACTACAGTAAAGAAACCAAGGAGGGCGCTGGATCTACATCTGCAAAAAAGCATGCCCACTTCACGCAAACACTCGCTATTCAACTCGCAGCCGAACAGCAGCGTGGGCTTCCCCAGGGCGAGATGAAAAGCAGACTTCAATTCGACCTGGCTCGTAGACTTTTGAAGCAAGCATACGAGGCGGCTCCAGATGACCCCATCGCTTTCAAGGATATACGCGACTTGCGTTTTATGGGCGAGATCTTCGCGCGGCAAGCGAAGTATAGCGAGCTGTTCGAACACTGGAACCACCCGCCTGCAGCCCTCCAGGACCTTATGACGAAACATCGGGGTGACTTGTGGGGCATGAAGATTAGACTTGCACGGCAGAGCAAAGAATGGTCTCTACTTGAAAGCCAGTGTCTTGCGTACATTGAGCGCATTGTATCACAGCAGGAAAGGTATGTTGAGTCAGCGGCGAAGTGTAACATTATGAAGTGGCTGCGGGTTGCTGCAGCGACTTCCAAACCCTACTTATTGCTGACGTTCTTAGCCTTCGAGAGACTTGTGCCTGGAAGAAAGATATTTGGACATCCTTATTAGCCGCCGCGTACGCAACACGCTCCGCTGACGATGCTGTTTGCCTGATCTCCGATATCACAAGTCGTACTTTCAACCCGGAGGAGTTCCAAAGCCAAGACCGACCCTTGAGACTTGCGTACATGACACTTCGCCAGAACGTCGCTCCAGGAACTCCAATGCTGGCCGACTGTAAGACGTACTGGAAGAACCACGCGAACCTCATCACATGTTACGCAGATATTCGACCATTCCTAGACGGCATGACCTCAAAGGACCGAGGAGAGCTCTGGGGTTTTGCGGAAAATCACTACGAAGACGCGGGGAAGTTGTTGGCACAGAATCAGTACCCAGCTCAAGACTGGATTGTTCATTGCGGCAATCGTCTCAAGATGTGTTATCTTTTCTGGATATCACTCTCCACGCCCTCTGCTCAAAGGTGGCAAGGGCTCATGGAGGTACCTTTGATCGCCGCATTGCGAGCCCCTCAGTTACGGACACCCAGGTCGCCTGAAGGTTTTGTTGCAATATACACACTCCTCTGGATTCACCAAGAAGCTATGCGCAACGAAGAACCCGATCATCCCTTCGAAAATACGCCAAACTCACGAGTTCTCCTTCAAGCTGCAATGTTAGCGCGCCATTTGGTGGCGAGCGATAAAGAAAAGCAAAACAGACCGCTGGCACTACTTGCTGCACGGCTGCACCTAAACCTCGGTCTAGGAAAATCCGCTTTCCAGTTGTACAGCCACACCAAATGCAAGGAGATGCTAGTGCATACTTTGTCACCATTTGTTCTGTCACGCATCTCACTGACACATCCATTTGGTGCCAAAGGCTACCAAGGATTCTCAGCCGAAGAGGAACTAGGAAAAGCTGTCGGGACAATGGAGAGGATGGAACGCAAGCTTAATGAGGCAGTATGTTCTGATCTCCAGTCGCTTCCATGGGATCAAGCTATGGAACTCTTGGCCGCGAAACGGGATTTCAAGTCGAGCTTGACAAAGCACATATGCAACACAGAGAGCCGTCGCATAGCACGACTCAAGGGTGAACCGATCGATAACATTCCCGTTATCGACTCAAATAGTATGTTGCACTCATTTCGAACCTGGAAACTGGCTAATCCATGCAGGCTACCGGAATATCAAGGACGTCGTGGATAGGACCATATTCCCCAACTACGAGCACAGTCAGCATCCTGGACCACTTTCATACATCATGCCCAACGGTCTTCCTGAAGTTCATTGGCTGGCCAAGAGCCTTGATATCTGGGACGCTAGCAGTAGATTTCTCTATAGAGAGACACAGGTGTTGGAGTTCAAGGGCAAATGGATACACCAAGTTGCCATGCCTCCGGATCATGTCTGGGAGACTGAGCCTGACATGACGCTTGCGGAATACCAAGTTGAGGACACATGGGAGGCAATCAACCTCATCGTTAGGACGATGACCTTCCCAGAACTTTCCTTCGAGGCGCTTCCTGGGGCGCTGGAAGCACTTCTGTTAGAGGTTTCCACGATGCGACGTGCAATGGAGAAACTGCGTATGCCTGGCGCCACGCACCAAAAGCCCGAAGACGAACCCACCATGTTCCACGAGAATATGCTAATGTCCTGCTATACCAAGCTCGAAGTCCTGCGCGCACTCATCAAGTTGATCGAACACCTACGCGAGAAGGTCATCAATGCGAAGACCCACCGCATGAAGGCCAAGTTGCCAAAGAACTGGGTCAGTGATATGGAAACTCAGACGAAGAATTGTTTCGAGGCGGTACGGGATGTGGCGCATAGCTACATCAATCTCATCGAACAGAGAGGTCGTGCTGCGATTAAGGCGCAGGTGCGGTGGGGCAAGACGGGTGAGGCACTGAAGCATGTGCTGAGTGACGACGATGTCGACTTCTACGCAACTGAGTATGTTGATAGCGCACTACAGGCATGGAGGGGTGTGCTACAGGTTAAATTGAAGTAGACGGGCAGATTACAAATACATCTCGCTTATCATCCCGCATGCCGGCCTCCTCAGGTGGGGTTCTGCGAGGACATTCTAGCTCGATTATCAGACCACCTCAGACAAGAAAAACAACTGAACAGGTCTGCAGATTACATTAAAACAAAAACTTGCAATGTAGGTGACCCAACGTCAACGTAGCCCTAGAGACTCCAGGGTGTTCAGTTTTTTCTTAGGTTGGCGTGAGACTAATACTTTCCTCCACTTGCCTGCGAAGAGATTATGGCAATGAATGGCGACTGATACATCTCAGTGAAATCTTAGATATGATTGAGCAGTCGGGTCTGCGCCTGGGTTGCGTCGCATTGAGATTGCTGTATTTTACGTTGCTCTTGACAAAATACTGCTGCTTTCCTGCACTTCACAGCTAAATGAGGGAGGACACACTGCGCATCCTCGCACCTTCACACTCAATTCTGAGCAGCGACTGTCACTTACAACACTCTTTCCAATCTACGTCAGATCCAAGTGCTAGCGTTGGTTGTTTAAAATGAAGCTCACCTCGTGAACTCTCCAGGCTCCCGTGTGCAAACGCAGACGCTGTATCCGCATAACCCAACTCACTCGCGTTCACCTCATTTTTAGTTCCGCCATCGTTACTCTCCCGCTATTCACCGAGGATTGCTTCGGAGTCTCATTATCACCGCATCACCGCCGACTCGGCTTTTCGTTTTCCTCCACTTCGTTGCACTCTCGCCGCTTGCTTCTGCACATCCCTCGCTGTCTACACCACGCAAGCTCTTCACCATGGCCTTCAACCCCACTGGAAAAATCCCTTGGACAAATTCGCTGTCGGGACCCGGTTCTACCTCTGGCAACCAGTCAGTAGATCACACCGACGACGAGCTAGGTGAACGTACGGCCTCCGACTCGGCTTCCTCATCGTCAGCTCACGGTTCTGCCTCTGGCGAACATCCAGATGAGCCCTTCATTGGCCCGATCCCTGAAGGCGCAGACTGCCCGACGTCCTCGTTGCCAAGTCACGGTTCTGGCCTCAGCGCTCTACCGTCCTCATCGTCAGAGCACCAACCAGATGGACGCAACAAGAACGCGCTTCCTGAACGTACAGATTCACTCGCAGATCCTAAAGGCCCACAGAAAGTAGGGACGGACTTATCAAATATGACGGAGGATGAGAGAAGGGAATGGGCTTGGGAAATTGCCGACCCCAATCGCAAATCGAAATCCAAACCCGTCAAGCCCGACCCCAACTGGGTCTCTCCCGAGGGTAAAGTAGCCGCCTCGCATAGCTTTCAGGATATCTTGCTAACTTATTACTAGTATGTAGCTCCCTTGCTATGCTTTTCCAACGCAGTTCTAAGACATTCTACTACATGTAGCTCCCTTGCTATGCTTTGGCAACGCGGTACTGAGACATCTTTCTATTCGTGCTAACAGCTTGACAGACGTTCCAAACAGCGATGTACGATCTCACCAAAGATATAAACCTGAGACCCAAGGGGCATTCGAGCGGCAAGTGGCGCTGTTGCAAGTGTAACCGTCGCCACAAGGTCTACGTTCAACCACATATCCACCCACTCCACGTTCTGAGCTGCGAATGTACCCACCGATCTTGTGCTAAGTGCAAACTGGAGGAACATCCTGCCAACTATCCTGCACCAGCCCGGCCACAACGTTCTCCTCAGGTTCTGGTCAAACAGTTCCAACCGATGAACGACCCGGAGGTGATCCCTTTGTCTGAGGACAGCGCCAGGGCTATACGATTTGGCGTCGTCTGCGAAGGCTGTGGTCGATCGTGGCTCGCACGGAGAGTCCCAGTCGAGTACAAGAAGACACCGAAGAAGTCGCTCCTAGAACGTCTACCTACGCTCCCCAAGTTCCCCAAAAAGCGCGGTGGTGGTGCACCCACTTTGGAGGACCTGCGATCTAGTCGATCGATGAGCAACCTCCACGATCCTACTCAGTCACGTTCTCAGGCTGCGCCGCCGGCCGCTTCCAGGTCCAGCTTCGACCTCCATACCCTTCGGAAGACGATGAAGAAAAAGCATGGGGTACAAGCTGAGCCGGTTCCTGTCAAGTTCGTGGGCATCAAGTGTCTCTGTACTATGACTACTGCAGACACTTCCCTCTGTTTTCAGATCATGGATAAGCCGGAGGACCACAACCAGACCCAGTTGGCGAATCAGGTGGCCGCGCGCAAGCCGGCTGGCCATGGCAGCACACCGGCAGACACTGCGAGAGGTCATGGTACCCCAACCTTGACGTTGAGGGGAAAGAAGCACGAAAACCCGCTCATGAGCAACCTTGTCGCCTAGAAGGACGAGAAAAAGAAGTTCCTCCATGATCTCCTGCCAAAACGTCGGAGGTGAGACCGGTCAGAGTGAGACCTTGGAGGAGGAGACAACATTGGTGAAATTGGTGCATCAGGCCGATATTTGAGGCCGCAGGAACCAGGTTTTGTCGAGAGTTACCCGTGTTCTATCTTTCTTGCACGCCATAGAAAGAAAAGATTAAACAGGTGCTCTACTGTCTACATTAGCATAAGAGTTGAAGTTTGCACATTCCCCACAGCAATGTAGACCTCTAGGAGGTAGGTGTTCAGTTTTTTCTTGTGTACAAGGTGCTTTCTTGGATGTTTCGGTCAGAAATTGGAGATGCGCTATGCAAGTGCTCGGGGATTAGCATGTTCATTTCTTTCTTGTTTGGGCGTCGCTGGAAATCGTAGGCAGACGTGGTTTGACTGTTCATATGGGCTTTTGAGCCTGTCGATTGTTGCTAGTCAGCATTCCGTACGCTAGGCGATAATCAGGCCCTTTTTGACTCCATGGTTGATCCTGATGTGATGTTGCACCTGTGACTGCATCGCCACACCGGGTTCCTCTTATGACCAGGGCTTCTCTTAACGCGGGCGTCAAGGCGTGATCCAAATTCTTTATGTGGGGAAGGTAGTACTCGGTGTTAGTGTGATTAACGTGCTCCAGCCTCTTCGCGCCCTTATGTGAGCTTCAGCCTTAGCTGTGACTGCCATCTACTCATCGCGATAGCTCTGCCGGCCAGGTCCGTGACCTCGTACACCGATACCAACATCACCAGATCACTTACTCAATAGACTAGTGTGTAGCTGTGTGATTAACACGATTGCTTCGCGTGGTCCGGGTAACTGCCTTGAATGGCAGCCTTAGACAGCCTTGCCGCAGACGCCACGGGTACCTAGGTACAATGAGAACGAACAAGACACCAGCAGCACTGCCCCGATACCGACCCAATGTATGAGCAATATCCTAGACTGAAGGAGTCGGTGTGTGAAGAATCGCGCGCGTGCAGTGTATGGCATGAATTACCGCCATGCGAACCGTCAGCCGCCCTGTTGGGGTCTGCGCCTCAACCTTGTGGATCCCAGGCGCCAAACATCCAGGCAGCGTCAATAAAGCGCAAATAAAGAGGACAAAGCGATGCGCATTGTGAAGTATCTGCCCATCATTCCAGTCACAGTTTCGTATCACAAACAACATCTGAGTCGATTGCGTTGCCAACAGTATCCGTGTGCGATTCCGTTTGCATCGTTCCACGACTGCCCCGAGACCCCAGACATACCGGCCTCAAGGGTCCAAGCTATGTCATTGGCCCGGTATGACTAGACCCCACCAAAAAGCATAAGAACCACGGAACTGACTTGCATTTCCAGCTTCCACACTTTCCATCAGCCTTCTTCATACACCCCTACAGCCCGAGCAGCTACTTTCCCTACAAATTCAGGAGTTTTCGCCGCCAAAAACCGACTGCAGCAGTTGACAAGCCATTTAACGAAGAGCTCAATCATGTCCACGATGGCCGAGAAGTCCCAAGATAAGAACAAGACTACCAACAGCGAGTCGACGAAGGGTAACACGCCTAAAGCGCCCGGGACGGTCTTCACAATAAAAAGAGACGATATTGGAAATGCCCAACTTGAACCGCTTCTCTCGAAGCCATTGCCAGTAGAACACGAAGATTGGAAGCACTCTACCCCTAAGTCCTCGACTACTCGAGGTGGAAATGCCGTGGATCCGCCTCCATACCAAAGATTCAACGTCTTTACCGCTGGTAGTATAGAGATGGGTAAAGCGGTCGAGTGGCAGTCGCTCATGGCAAATCTACTTCGGGACCTACCCATCACCGTGTGCGATCCACGACGACCGAAGAAAGATTGGAACCCAGCCTTGGCTCGCGTGAAAGACGATAATGGACTTACAGGAATGCGAGCACAAATCGATTGGGAACTGGACGCGCAAGACCAAGCAGACGTCATCTGCTTCTTCTTCGATGTCGACACCAACAGCCCAGTCTCTCTGCTTGAGTTGGGTCTGTTCGCTAAATCCAAAAAGGTGGTGGTTTGCTGTGACCCACGGTACCATAAATGGGACAACGTTCAGATAACGTGTGAGAGATATGGGATCCCGCATGTCGAGACATTTGCGAGATTGGAGCTAGAGATCAGAAATATGCTGGAGAAGCAGGGCATGGTACTTGACGACAACGGCGACTTGATCGGACCGAATGTTCATAGGCCCAAGCCTAAGTCGCATGAGACGTCGGAAGCGCAGCTTGAGGCGGACAAGGCTGCGTTGCAGAAGCAGGTCGATGAGCTCAAGGCGATGCTGGCGACACAGTCGAAGATGTGATCAAAGTGAGCTGCGTGGGCTCTGGTTTGACTGGTGTTGGTGGAGTTTTTGTCTTTTCAATAATAACCAGCGTGGGGGGGGATGTCTCAATTATTGGTACAGCCCTGCTTTGGCTGTATCACATGTCTCTCATTTGTACATGTCTCTATACCCAGACTTTCTTACCCAATGGCTTTTTTACCTTCTCAGAATAGATGAATAAACTGATGCCCCCTCCGGCTCAGGTCAAACTCTCCGCTTCACTGGGTTGATGATTTCCTCGTATCTGTCAGTCCTGACAGACATATCACATCGCGGCATCTATGTGATGTTGGACTTCTCGTAATACATGCTCGTCAA